GCTTCTTCAAACGTATTCTCGCCTAGTGCGTCCGTGGAGAGCACAGTGGATGCAGGTTAGATTGTTGCGAAAATTATGTGATCGTTCGGACAGTAGGTGCATGTTGTTGCCAATTATGTGCTGATTAATTTCCGTTTGAAATTCCAGGAGCGCAGAGGAGGGAGAAGCGCCCAGGAGAAAGCGCTGAGGAATTTATTACCTTTGTTTCTCCGGCTGGCGTCCTGCCATGTGCTAGAAAAAGTTAGTACTTTTTTTTTGATGAATGCATTTTACGTTATTTGACAGAAAACCTACTTCTGCTGAAGGAATAAAAGCAGTCTATTTTATTTTAGAAGACAAATACACGAAGGATTATTGCTTAAGAAAGCTTCGAGAAATCGAAAAGCAAATTGCTTCGTACAATGCGCTTAGTGATAATAAAATCGCTACAATTCACATGAGTAGCAGTGGCGAAATGAAAATGTACGGCAGCAAATTCATCGTCAATGCCTGCCTGCACTCATCTATATCCAGAAACCTCGAAAAAGAATACAGTGAGAGAAGAGAGTTCAAGGAAGAGGACACCGATGATGAGGTAATCGCTGTTTATTTTTGCGTTAGATTGAAAAACTGTGATTATTACTAGCATTTGTGTTTATTTAACAGGCCAGTTTGGGGAATGTGTAACAGGCCGTTGCTGTTTGTTGCTATTCAGAAATTTCAGCTTGTTTCTATTCCGCTTGTTCACTGTGTGCCAACTCTGAAGATCAATATCGCCAGGAATTCCGAAGTGCGCTCAATGCTGAACTCATTCCTAGACTCGATGCATTACCCATGGACTCCTTGGTTTGAGAAACCGGTCTGTCCGGATTACTGGCCAGCTGCCATCCCGTTTTATGATCCCAGCAGCAATCTCCTTGCTCTGGAAAAACTTTCACGGCAAAAAGGTGAGTCAGTGCTTTTCAAAATTTCACAGCTACCGAGTGAGGATGAGTGCCGTGACAGATTATCGTATTTGTAACTAATTTGAACTTTTTTGACATCCTGACGCGTTTCTTTGCTGTATCGGGATGTTAAAACGCATTGAATCAAAGCACATTTCTCTTTCTGTTTGTCTTTCTCACGGCGTTTTTAAATTCCAGGTTTCTCAATCGTTTGCAGCGCTTCAGTCCTTAATCTCATACTTCAAATTGTCATTTGAATGTCTGTAGCTGCGTCAAGGCCAAAAATATTATTAAAAAAACAGTCTTTCCCCTTTGTTCTGCAACAAGACCCAACCAAAGTAAACCAGAGTCGTGGGCTTTGCAGCCATAATTTCTTTTTCGAGTTTTTATAAGTAGTTACCGATTTTTTTTTTTTTTGTTTTCTCTATGGTTTATGGTTTAGGTGAAGTACCATGCCTTTTTCAGTGCTCTGCCATTCTGTCCGTCGGCTCTTTGTTTTTGTTACTCCGCACCGTCATCTCTTTTGCCTAGTGGTTCGAAGACGGTAGCACCGTGAACAGCTGAGCAGTTCTAATCTCGGTTTGAGGAGCGGTTTTTCCGCACTTGCAAATTGTTCATTTTAATTTATACACCAAAATTTGCTTGCAGAAATGAAAGCCCATTCGATTGTTGATCTTGAAAGAGATATTTTGAAATACGCCTACAATCACTATGCCTACTTCATGGAGTATCATTTCGGGATTCGCGAACCAGGTAAGAGACTTCTGTTTGGTTAATTATAGCGATTGCTGTTTTCGAGAGTGGGTTTCCAGCGATACTTCTGTTTGTGGCGATACTTCTGTTAGCGATACTTCTGTTGAGCGATACTCCTGTTTGTGACTTATTTTCGAGAGTGAGTTTCCGATAGTAGTTTTCTGTAATAATGACATTTATAGGGTCTGGTGAGGGGCAGCAAGGCGAAGAAGACAGACTACGAGTAAAGAGCAGGAGTCAGCAGTCGATTGGGATTCAGAGCGAGTCAGCAGGTACTTGTTTATTATTAAATAGCGGTACTGACATGCGTGCACTGTAACAAGAAAAGTAACTTTTAAAGCTTAGCAAATACGGCTGTCACTTTTACTGAACTAAACCTGACATCGAGCATAATACAGGATGTTTGCTCTGTATTTATCAACAAGCTAGAACTATTTGATGATAGATTCTGTAGCGGCAAATAATTTTTGCAGCAGTGCCCCCTACCAGCCCGGAAAGGAGGGCGAAGAGGGAACTAGGACCTTTGTGCATTTTTCATCTGTATAGCCTTTCTTACAGTGAGTTTGGGGTCCAGTTCCATTGCACTGATCACGAGATTAACATATTGTTCAGTAACTTCGGGTTTTTTTACGACGAAGCATCCCGGTCACTTCTTAATATAAATCGCTTATGATATAAACGAAAAAAAGCCGTGAAACGAATCATATGGATTGTTCACTGATTCAGCCCTCTCTATTATTCCATGTTTGTCTATGTGTTGTTGTCTTTCAGCCCCAGAGGTGCCTCAAGCGGGGCCAAGTGGAGAGTTTGAAGCAGAAGAAACGAAGCCTAGCGAAACTGCATCACAGCCAAGTTCACAACCTACAGGCGAAATGTCACCAAGTACCGGTTTCGCTTCAACATTTACTCACTACCATTACAAAATCCTTGACAACCAGTTGATTATCGTTGATATGACCTGATCACGAACGGCGGGCTGGAGCTCATTCTCCACCAGTAGTTGTCCAGGCTGCACAGTTTTGTTGGCAAACGCATGAAGTCGCTGATGAGTGATTATAATAAAGTCAGTGTGATTAAAAGGCCACCATTTTGTGCTGTTTTTCAGTTTTGCGTATTCGTTATGAGCGGATGAGCGAGGATTTTCGCATGATTATGGATGCAGTGAACAGAATGCAAAATCATTCAACCTGCAGAGCTATGGTGCTTCTTGTGGATGAGCGGAATAAATGGAGTGTGGCTGGCGATAAAACTTTGATTGCGGCCCTCGTGAATTCAAACATTCCTCAGTGTGTGCCAGAGGCTGCGAGCTTTGATTTTGATAATGTAATTTTCTTTTTTTTGATTAATGCATTACCGATGAACTACAAAAGCTCGTACTGCGGGAAGGTTGTGGGTGTATGTCCGCATCCACACAGTGATTTCAGCTTTCAGATTTGCGAAAGTTTTGAAACTAAAGTTTTGGCTGCCTTAATTTTACCACTGTGGATGTGTCGCCAGATAAAAATGCTCATGTTTTCTCGTGTAAGGACATATGGGAGATATATTGTGAACTGGCCAAGCTAGGAAGCTGAAAATTTGCGGAAATACTCCATACAGTTTTGAAGTGCGCGTACAGTTAACGCATGCATTAGTGAAAGTTCCAGTTGCTGGCAATCTTCAACTCGAAAACCAAACCGGGTTGTAATACAGGCAGATGTTTGTGCGAAGTGCAAGCCTAAAATTCATGCATGTGTGCTTCTTTTGCAGAGACGTCCGACTTTTTTCTTTTGATATTTGCGAAAGGGATTTTTAGCTTCCCATATTACCCAGAAATTTA